AGGTTCAATAACAAGGTGGAAGCTGAATGTGGCGCACGCCTTCAATCTCGGCGCTCGGGAGGCAGAGGCAGGTGGACCTCTGTGAGTTCAAGGCCATCCTAGTCTACATAGTGAGTTCCAGGTCAGCTGTGGCTACAAGGAGACCCTCTGTCAAAAAGAAAAAAAATAATAATAATAATGTGGAGAGTGACTGAGGAAGACACCTGACTTGAACCTCTTGCCTACACACAAACACATATACACCATATATGCACAAAAAAAGAAAGGGGGGGGGCTGGAGAGATGGCTCATCGGTTAAGAACACTGGTTCTTGCAGAAGACCCAGGTTCAAATCCCAGCACCCACATGGCAGCTAACTACTGTCCGTAACTCCAGTTCCAGGGGATCCAACCACCTCTTCTGTCTTCCATGGGCATTGCACAACATGGATGCACTTACATACATGCAGGCAATACACTCATACACATAAAATAAAAATAATAAAATATTTAAAAAACACATTGCATTCAATTTGTAAATTGATCTGTGGGATCCCTGTTTGTGATAGGGTGTCATAGCCGCTGGAGGGGAAGGTTCACCGGCTTTCGTGCTTTCTCCATTGAGGCTGCCTCGCTCGGTCAGGAGCTCCTAAGCAGTGTGTGCTTTCATGTCAATGCTTGTGGCTTCCTCCCATCTATTCCAGTTCCTAGAGGCTGGTGCTGCTCTCAGTTTTGTATTTGGACTTTTGTGTGTGGTGGTCCAGTTGTGATGGTCAGTCTGTGCCTTGCAAACAAATGGCAGCTTAGTAGCTAAACAAGCTTCTCAGAAATGTATCTCTTAATCCGTTTGACTCTTAGAACCTAGTACCCCCATGCTGTCCTGGGAGGAAGAGTGAACATACCATCATTTGGCCTTCAGACTCTCTGATAGAAATCTTGCTCTTGGGGCTGGTGGGATGGCTCAGTGGTTAAGAGCACTGGCTGCTCTTGCAGAGGACCGGGGTTCAGTTCCCAGCACCGACATGGTGGCTAACAACCTTCCGTAACTCCAGTTTCCAGGAGATCCAACACCCTCTTCTGAGCTCCATGGGCATTGCACAACACAGGTGCACTTACATACATGCAGGCAAAACACTCATACACCAGAAATAATAAAATATATTTACAAAAAAAAATATTAGCCGGGCATGGTAGCACACGCCTTTAATCCCAGCACTTGGGAGGCAGAGGCAGGCAGATCTCTGTGAGTTCAAGGCCAGCCTGCAAAATGCCCTTGGGCCTCTTAGCAACATACTCTGTTCTAAAGGCCAAAAATGTCAAAAGTATTTGGGAGCTCTTATATAATCCCTAAAAGATTTCAGGATTACTTCTTCAGGGGGGGAATGTTAGAGTAGCAAAAAGAAAGAAAGAAAGAAAGAAAGAAAGAAAGAAAAAGAAAGAAGGAAAGAAAGAAACATATTGCTGAGTAAAACTGAGGTAGCAGGAAGGGGCATAACAGGGACACCCAGTGGTTAAGAACAGAAACCTGGGGCTGGAGAGATGGCTCAGCAGTTAAGAGCCCTGACTGCTCTTGCAGAGGATCTGGGTTCAGATCCCAGCACCCACATGGTGGCTACAAACCATCCATAACTCCAGTTCCAGGGGATCCGAAACCTTCTTCTGACCTCCATGGGCATTGCATGACACGGGTACACTTACATACATGCAGGCAATAAATACACAGATACACATAAAATAAAAATGATAAATATTTTTCTTAAAAAAAAGAAAGAATGGAAAGCTATGAGGATCAGACCTGTGTTCCCTAGTGCCTCTGGAATGAGCTTACCCGTGTTCTGCTGTTATTAACCCATCTGTTGTTGGTAATAATTCAAGTAGAGAAAGGCTGTACGAGATTGCTGAGTTGTGAGAATTCTCCTTAAAGTTGCTTCTCCAGCTGTTTCGGTTCGGATTTACTATTTTTTAGTTGGCAATTTGGAGTGAACACAAGCAATTTACTAGGGACTGCCAGCTTACCAGGGATGCCGCTCAGTGTTCTCCAGAGAGGCAGCAGAGGAGGAGTGCAGGGAGGTGCGGGTGGGAAGCTGGCGGTCGATGGAGCCTCCTTCCCTTGCAGGGCCTTCACCTTATTGGATGAGACCCACCCATGTTATTGAGGGAAATCTTGATCCAAGTTAATGGTCAAGCAGAAGACCAGCACTCAGAAGAATAAAACTAACGTAACAGGGAAGCCACAAACAAGGCTAGGAAAGCACCAAGCAAGGGGCAAGGGACCACCCCTTCCTGAGGAATGGCGTGGACGGGGGGGGGAGGGGGGGACGACACGGGACTGGACGAGGACGAGACAGCTAACCGCAGAGCTAGAAGCCAAAGTGACTTGGCAGCTGTCACCATGGCAACCATGTGGGGGCTTGGGCCAAGCAGCTACCTAGGAGCCACTGCAAGCACGGAGTGAGAGATCTCTAGGCGTGGAGAGTACTGTGGCAGGTTCCATAGAGCGGGCACTAGACACAGCTTGGGGAAGCAATAACCACAGAGGGAAAAAGACTATCGTGATACACTAGATACACTAACAGCTACAATCGGAATGGAGGGGACGGAGCTTGGCGTTCCCAGTAGGAACTCCGGATCTGGCCTTTCTAGGGGACATGGGGGCCCTCCCACTTCCTGCCTCCCTCCCCTCTGTGGTGTTTCCTGAGGTACCCTCTCCTTGGGCTGGCGCTTTTCAACCCAGCAGACTTTTAGCTATTGATTCTGACCCATGGGACCATTAGTGATTGCAACAATTCTTCTGGCAGGTAATGACTGTCAGCGGTTGTGATATTGCCAAAAGCCTTGTGAAAATGGGTCCTGGGATCAAGAGGTCTCCCTTCTTAAAAAGGGCAGTCTCTCCCACTCAGCCTAAGTTCCCCTAACACTCCCTCGCCCTGTCTCCAAGCAACCTTCACAGTGATGCCACTCAAATGTGCTTATGTAATCGGGCTCCCACCCAGGCACATTGGCATAAGAGACCAACCATCCACTAGGCTGCCTTTTCCATCTTCAGCCATTGCCTTTCACCAAGGTTAGTGATGCCACACCCTCCTGCCCCAAAATACTCCTGGGGCAGGGTGTATAACTTGTCATAGAGTCTGGACTAGCTGGAAACTCTCATCTATCTGGCATAGCCCTGTGAAGAGAGGCCCCTCTCACTACTGAGCGTGGGGAGCAATTGCCTGTTTACTCCATCACTGCCTGTAGCCTTCACCAGTGTGATAGTCCCTCTTGTGTGGTGTGTCCATCTCTTGGGGGCAGTGTTGAGCATCAGTGAAGATCTCCATCTCGATCCCAGGCCTCCTGGGTACATACCTCTCCAGTCTGCATACCACACTCTTCTCCTGGATCAGCACCTGCCTGCCTCTGACTTGCACCCACTGAAGAGCAAAGTGAGGCCAGTCTCCCTTTGTCCTCTCCATCTATGGAAGAAAGGGGACAGTAGCCCAGATCAAGAGGGTCAAGGACTCAGTTCTCACTTTCTTCTCCCAGAGTGTTCACAGCGCGAGCAGGTACAGAGAGGTGGCAGGTGATGTAGTCCTGTCCTGCGGCCTGTGAGCAGTCCCAAGCTGTGTGTGACTCTGCTTCCTTCATGGGTGACCTTGTCCTCTTTCTTGTCTCTTCCTTGGGCCTCAGAAGTGCGTTACTTCAAGAAGCCGTCCCTGTACGGATTCCCCATCTGCTGAGAAATGCCCCATGCACCTGCCAGTCTCCGTGGCTGATCTCCTGTTGTTTGGGAGGCCTTGTGGGTCCTGTGCACACACCTGGATCATACTCCAGTGGAACCAGATGGGCACTGGGGTGTGACTTCCAGACTTGTTTCCTTTGCCTTTTTCATATTTCTGGGTTTCCAACCGTTTTCTTTTCTTCCTTGTGTTCCTGTACTGTGTCTACACCTTCATACTGTTCTTCACCTCAGCTGCTTCTCCAGGGACCCAACTTTTATGGCTGGTGGCATCACAGGACATGCCCAGGTTGGGAGCCAGGTATTAGTGACAGTAAAGAAGAAACAGCTGGTCGTGGTGGCACATGCCTTTAATCCTGGCACTGAGGAGGTGCTCAGGAGGATTGTGAACTGAAGCCATCCTGGCCTATGTACTGAGTTCCAGTCCAGCTTGGGATATGTAAGGGGACCCTGTCTCAAAAACAAACAGCAAGGAAGCGCATCAGTGTTAGCTGGCCTGACTGCGCCAGGCCCGGGACCTCTGGCCTCACCAGGCTTCTGAGAGCAGCTCCTCTTCGCTGTCCTGGAGCTGGAGTTTGCATTTATGTCAGATACTCGATTTGATCATCTGTAAGACAGTCACCAGGGCTATAACTGGCATTTGGTGGGTTCAGAGCTATTATAAGGTAATGGATCATATTTTATACTTAGGTTTTGTTTTGTTTTGTTTTTTAAAGGCTTGTAAGTTAATGACATAGAAAAACTACACTAATGTTTTTCACACTGGCAGATCAGTGTTGTGCAGGTCCAAACAAAGAACTCTGTGCAGCCAGGCCCTCCTAACAGCTCTCCCCCATGCTAACAAGCATCCCGTCTCTGGAAGTGATCTTCCTGCTGCCCACACAGAAGTCACTCATCTTGACAGTTGCTTCCACCACTGTCACAGAGCCACCGGTGCAGTGTGCCATTTGCTGTTGTTTTGGTGTCCTTCGTGACCTTTGTCCTCTTACACTTTCTTCTTTCTCCTTGCTTTCCCATACCGTAAACTGGGTGTACCCATACCCCAGAAGTCACTGTACCCCTTAGCGTCTGTATCTTCAGAGTGACTGTGGTAGTCAGTTTGGTGTCTCCAGCCCTAGGAGGTCTGTTATCACGTGCAGGTTTCATCCAGACCCCTCTGGAGAGCCACACTGCTTCTGAGTTTTAAGAGAAAGGTCACCTTGCAATGGGAAGCATCCATCACTAGAATTACTTAGTATTTCCCAAAATGTTATTTATAATATTTGAAGTAACCTGTTTGTGATCATGGAATATGTGGGTTTTAGTTTGCAGTTAACATGTTCCGAACCTTGCCACCCTCCTCCAATCCTACGGGAGCAGAATTTGACCCAGAGGAAGATGAACCAACGCTAGAAGCAGCCTGGCCTCATCTGCAGGTATTGGACTTGGCACTGGTCCAAGTAGGGTGTTGTGTTGTGTAGGTGCTGACACAGGACCTCCCTTCAGCTGTTGACCAGTGACCCTCTGGTCTAAAATGATCTCTGGTCTGAAAATGGGCTTTTTGGCGGGGGCGGGGAAGCCCATTACACAAGCTACTAAAAGGTAGAATTATTTGTGTATCCTCAATGGCAATACCCACTTTACTGATAACCACTGATTTCAGGCTTAGAGCCCTTTGCAGGTATGTCCCTGGTTTTAAGGGCCTGGATTTAACCTCTGCACCCTGGACTCCTTGCTGAATGATGGTTTTTCCTAACGAATCTCTAAGATGCAGGGTTGACTGGTTAGGAGGCCAGCACATGCAGACGGGTCACACATGTCCCTGGTGGGAAGGGAGAAAAAAGAGGTAAGAAACTGGAAGGGAGCCCAACATTTGCCCTCATGGCACCTGGCTTCCACACATAGCTTACGGTGGGCTGGCCATACTGTCTAGCCAGTATGTGCATTTACAAAGGGGCGCAGTGATTGCAGTTCACTGTCCACGTCTTCATGTCCCTCTCACCAGGCGATCCTAAACAGTTCCTGTCCACCTGGCTCAGTGTGGATGGCAAGCAGACCCCATCCTGGAGCCAGGTCGTGGACTTAGCTGTAGCAGCCGCGCATCATAGAAAGCACTTGGCTTTGATATCACTTAGGGGATAGTCTGTGGTTCTTACTAAATAAAAGAACTACCATCACAGTTATAACTAAGCCAAGCCACACAATTCAACATTAATTCTGTATGGATGTGCGGTTTTTAAATCTAATATTTCCGAGCAGATAGAGATTTAATTCAAGATGTATCTTAATCCACTTAGTTGGTGCCATGTTATTTGACTCACTGTTGTTGTTTTTTCCTCCTAGCTTGTTTACGAGTTTTTCTTAAGATTTTTAGAGTCTCCAGATTTCCAGCCTAATATAGCAAAGAAGTACATTGATCAGAAATTTGTGTTGCAGGTAAGTTTGCAACTCAGTGTCCAAGCCAGGAGGCTTACACTGCAGAGTAGTCACCCATCACTAAGTATCTGTTTCTTCTTGAAGCTTCTAGAGCTCTTTGACAGCGAGGATCCTCGGGAGAGAGATTTTTTAAAAACCACTCTTCATAGAATCTATGGGAAATTCTTAGGCCTGCGAGCTTACATCAGGAAGCAGATAAATAATATATTTTATAGGTAAGTCTCCTCATGATGCCTCTCCCCTTGTGCATGTGATGTTCATGTCCACCTTGATGCTGTGGCATCGAGGACAGGGAAGGAAGGTTGAGCAGTCTGCTGGTCAGGTACAGGTGACCTCTGCCACATCGTGTGCCCCAGCCAGGCCGTCTTGCCTCCTTGTCCCCTCCCTGTTCGCTGGGCAATCTTGATTGCTGTCTTCCTTTTGGCCCACTCTGGCTCCCCAGTGCTCACTGCACACCCACTCGCTTGGGTTCCTACTGAAGTGTCCGGTTGCTCTGCATGTGGATAAGCTGATTGTGTCCCATCCACCATATTCTTCCTGCTCAATCACAGGGAAGGCAGGAAGAGTGGGGAGGGAGGTGATCAGCCTTGCCTGGAAAGGTCTGTGAAGTGAGCAGTCTGGACTCCAGCCAAGCATGGGGACACTGAGCTGACAGTAGCTGGAGCAGCATAATTTCCTCACATTTGTCCAGCCCTGGGCCTCCAAGACTGAAGGGTGATCACAGACCCACCCTGTCAGCCCCCAGCTCAAAAAGAACCTACCAAAACTCTCCCAAGTGCAGTGTGAGCCAGGCCAGATGTTCCACCCCTCCTTCCCACCCTAGTCTTATCTCTGACCAGGCCTCATGAGTCTTAAGATCTAACATCCCAGGTGAGCATGGAGGTTCACACCTGTCATCCTGGTGCTTGGGAAGCAGTGGCAGAAAGACTGCCACAGTTCAAAGCCAGCCTGGTGTGCTATGGCATTCCTAGCAAGCTGCGGCTCATGGTTGCTGCTGCTGCTGCTGTCTGCCTGACGTACACAGCCTTCCTAGGCTGCCTCTGCACTTTTGGGTTCTGTCTACACCCAGGCTGTGCAGCATGTGACCTTCCAGGCTGTCTTTCCTAGCCCTGACCATCTTCCCCAGCCCTGACCTGGCATGCCCACTGCCCTATCAGGGCAGCCTCAGTGGCACCAGCCTTAACACAGCCCACAGAGACAGAGTAGGTGCTGGTGGAGGAGACAGATCGTGTAGCTCTTTCTTATCCCTGGAAAGCACTGTGTTCTGCTATTTTTGGCTTCTCCTTCTCAGATGTCTGATTCTAGGGTGCCCCAAGAAAGTGACAAAACTCAGCAGTGACTGAATTGTGTTAACATCCATCTGAAATAAAATTGGTGAGTTTCACAGTCTAGCTGCAGGGCCAGGGCCTGCCTAGGCCTGGAGATGGGACCCACAGTGCCACCATCCACAGCAGCATACTGACCTCGATAGTCCTTCCTTCTTCACAGTAACTGAACAGGGTCAAGAAGGGGCGTTGAGACAGTGAGACCCAGAGAAGCCAGTGTGGTCCTTCTGGATTCCCCATATCTGCTTCTGCAGTGGATCCCAATCCAGCCCTGATTTGCCAGCTACAGTCAGAGCATGACATCATCTCCTGAACTTTACCTCTGTTTTGCATTTCTTGGCACTGCACTTCCTTTTTAGCAAGATCATTACTTAGCTCATGTCATTCTCTACCAAAACACAGTACACATTATTCCAGTAACACAGAATGGGTACAATTTGAATTCTAGGCTTTTAGCCCTAAAATGAAGGTGTTACCTGTAGTGTTTCGTTTCCCTAGCAGTTGGGTTTGTTCAGACAACAGAATGCCTGCAACACAGATGTAGAAATGCCTCATAGCTCAGAGTTTTAACCAAGTATTACTGAAATACATAGCTTACTATTCAGAATACATACAGATAATTTAGTACAGTTCTCACAAAGGGGTGAATGCTACAGTGTCCTATTCCCCCCCTTAGGTAATCTTTTCTATAATTATCTTGATATATACAATCAAAAACAAGCATATTACGTAGCTTCCCTAAATTGGCTTGGATCTTTATCACCATGTCATGCGAAAAGCACCAGCAAGTGCAGGAGCAGCAGTGTGCCGTGAGCTTTGCTCACCCAGAAACCCAAAATCTGCAACCGAAAACACTCCAAATTTTATTATTTATTTATTTACTTTTTATTTTGAGCACTAACATGATGCCACAAATGGAAAATTCTGCACTTGATCTCACGTGGCAGGTCACAGTTAAAGTGCAGGGCCAGGTATGTTGGCTTCAGCCTGTAGTTCAAGCCGTTCAAGGAGGTTAAGGCAGAAGGATTGTTTGAGTCTAGCCACTACAAACCAACCTGGGCAGCATAAAGAGACCCATAGGCGCGTTAAAAATACTGCATAAAATTACCTTTCAGCCGTGTGTAAAGGGTAATTGAATTTCAGGTTTCAACTTGGGTCATATCCCCAAGATCTCTCATATATATAGCAAATGTTTTGAAATCTGAACAATATCGGACATGGAAACTACGGGTCCCAGACATTTGGGGTACCCTGTGTAAATGTTATAAGAAAAAGTGGTTTAACCGTACTTGGTTCAACTTATTGGGATGTTAAGCTTTCTTTCTTGTAATTCCTCACTGAGTCAGTTTTAAGAGTGAGCAGACAAGGACTCCAGTTGCCTGTTTTGGCAGATGGTGAACTGGAGTTTAGTTGGCCAGCAGACCAGCCAGGTCTCCTGCTGCACCACTTCATGCCTGTTATTCCTCATGGGCAGGTCCTCGACTTGGGCTCTGCAGAACTGTTGTGTTCCACGTGATGTCTTCTGGGGCAGATGTCCAGGGCTTCTCACAGGGTGCATCTCTCCACACGGCCCCCTAGTCATGCTTGGGCCTTGCAGCTTCTTGATTTCTCTTGGTTTAGGTTTCAGGTTTTTTGAGACAGTATAGCCCAGGTTAGCCTTGAACTAGCAACACTCTTACAGGTATGAGCCACGTAGCCCAACTCCAGTGCAACTTCTTAGGAATGCCCCCTGCCTCCAGGAGGAAAGAAGCTGCCAGTCCTCTTAAGGGTTTGGCCCCAAGTTAATGCCACTCACTTCGCCCTTTGTATTGTGAAGACACCGTGGGACAGTGCAGGGTCAGGGAAGGGAAAGTAGACTCTAGCTCTTGGTTTGAGGTACAGGACACATCATTCAGGGAGCCATCCATCTTGGAGCTTGCTCTGGGCAGCAGTAGCAGCCCAGGTTTCAAAGGCTGTGTTTGAGTGAGAAACACTCTAGCTTGCTTTAAATGAGGCTTCTCAGCTTTCCTCCCCTCGTGCCTCGTCTGGGAAGGAAGAACTGTCCTCATTTTCTCTCTCATACCTGCTTCAAATGGAAAAACAGAAACTAAGAAGCCATCAGTGCAAATGAAGTCACTTACAGTGAACATGTTCTCCTGTAAATGTGCAGGCTGGGGGAGAAGGTAAGAGGCACGGCCTGAAGGCCGTCTGTGAGCTACAGGCAAGGGGCTGCATCAGCTACAACAGTGCATCAGCACATTTTAAGAAGTGTAGGTAAAATACATGAAGCAAGAGGAAACATTGACTATGCAGAAAAGCGATTTACTGTGTAATAGACACTGGTGAAAGACTGACCCACTTGGCAGCTCTGCGCTCTAGGGCGGGGCAGGGAGCCATGGGCGCGAGCAGGTGAGACAAGCACGCTCCACAATCCCACAGCCAGTTCTGTCACAGCACCCTTGCCACCACACTTTCGGACTTCAGCCAAGCATGCCTTTGTGTTTGTCTTGACACTGGCCTTGGAACCTGCCCACACACTGTCTGGCCCACCATCTTAGCTGTCACCTGGATTCACAAACTGTTCTTTCTCCCTCTGCACACCCTATCTTGATGAATCTGTACCGAACCCTCCTTGGACCTCATTGCAAGCAGCAGCCCCCAGGGAGTCCTGGCCAGTTGAGAATACAGAAATGTCAAGACTCATTTCTCAGACTCTTTCACATCTTTGGGGACTTAACCTCTCCTTTGCCTTACGGTCACTACTCTGTCTGTCTCAGGAACGCTGAAATTTGGTTCAGAATCTTTAGTCTTTGTCAACTTCGATGTGCCACTTCTAAGGGAGAAGCTCCCTCTGATGGACAGGAGCCTCTTCCACCTCTTGCACTCCCTCAGAGTGCTTCCCCCATCGCTGCAGACCACCACCCGCCGAGAGGCTGGAGCAGAAACAGGAGGCTTCTGGGGGTGGACATTCTCCTGTTCCCTCTCCTTGTCCCCAATTCATGCAGCAGACATGTTTAAACATCAAACAGATGCCAGTCTTGATCCTAGCACCAGGAACAGGAAGTCCTTGTCCCCATGTGGAAGGAGACAAGCTGACACAGAGGATGGGGAGCATGCTTCCAGAGCTCCCCAGAAGCATGTGTGCGGCAGTGCCTGCAGAGGCTGCTCAGATGAAGAGACAGACTGGAGCAGACTGGGGCTTCTGGAAGGCGGGGCTGAGGAAGTGTGGAGGGTATTCATAGGGAAGTAGGCAGCAGAGATGTTCAGAGAGGAGATTCTAGTCTTGGAAGGGAATGGGCTAGGGCTTGAAGGGTTTACAGTTGAAAGATGTTTAAGTGAGATGGATCAGCAGATGGACAGCACAGGACAATGTAAGGATGGCAAGGAGAATGACAGTACGCGTTGTCACTGGCTCAGTCTGCTGATTGAAATAGAGGTGTTTGCCGTGAAATGCCTTCTGCTCCTTTGGATGCTTGAAATTTTTCAAAATAAAATGCTGGAAAGAAATGTGCACTGCTCGTGCCCCCTGCCCTCAAGGCCTGTCCATTGCCAGGCATTAAGGACTGTGGACTCCAGAAGGCCCTGAGCAGCAAGCAGCCATCCCAAAAGGTGTTCTCACGCATGTGTGCTCTGGCTCCTGACCTGCCTCCTCCTGAAGGCTTTGTTTTCTTGTTCGAGGGTTCTGACCAGGTTCCAACTCTAATGCATTGTTCGTTCCAGGTTTATTTATGAGACGGAGCATCACAATGGCATAGCAGAACTACTGGAAATACTGGGAAGGTGAGTCCCTGTCACGGCACTGAGTGGCTGAGCTGAAGCTGATGCCAGAAGGACCCGGCTTATTGAATCCCTCCCAACATGCTTTAAACCATTCCTGAGAGAATGTGAGCCGAGCTTCGTAAGGAGAATCGGTGCTCTCTCAGAGTAGAACACACTGAATGGCAACTCGCTGCCATTTTTATGGGTCCACAGGCAGATCCCACTTCATACGTCTCAATACCATTACTATAGAAGCTGTGGAGTCCTGTTAAAGATACGTAAGAAGGCTGATAATGGCTGGGGCTGTAGCTCAGTGATGGAAGGAATGCTTGCTTGCTCAGCATGTGAGACCCCAGGTTCAATCCCCAGTTCCCCCCCTCCAAAAAAAAGGAAGTTGATTTTATAAACTTACTAGAAGAATACATTAGCTACTTGAGGTGGTGAATAGACAGTTGTGCTTCCTTGAAGGCTGTTTTGTTGTTCCTAGCAGGACACTGCTCTCTCTGAAATACACATATCTGACCGTTTGCTTTTCATGTTGAAAACGAAAGCTGAAAACAAACAAGATGTTTGACTCTCATCTGAAATTTACAAACGTTCAGACTGAATTCTCTCTTCACAGTATCATTAATGGATTCGCCTTACCACTAAAAGAAGAGCACAAGATTTTCTTACTGAAGGTGTTACTGCCCTTGCACAAAGTGAAGTCTCTGAGTGTCTACCATCCCCAGGTAAGGTCCCAGCTGAGCACCGCTGCCCGCTTCTGCAGGGGTGAGACTCAAGTAGAGATGGCAGACATTCCTAGCTGTGCCGCCTTTCCCAGGTTGCTGTCCTGACATAACAACAAGGTTCTGGCAGAAATTCAGAATCAGA